TCATACTTTTGGACAATCTCCGCTCAGAGGCATTCATGGTGGTGCACTTCGTTGTAAAAGTAACAGAAGTAGCTGGGTGAAGTGAAGACAGCTTCAGCACCCTGCTTTCTTACATCCACACACCTGGCCAATCACTGTACAAAGTCCACGTGTTTTTTGGGCTGTTTTTCATAGGAAAGGTGTGGGTAAAAAGGTTTCAGATGCCGTTAGACAAGCACGCCTAGGTTGTAGGCTCTAAGCATACCACTGTACCTTAACTTTGTTGTTTCCTTTGCTGTCCTTTTGAATGTAAATTGTAAGATTTGGCAGTGCCCAATGACAAGTTGACTAGACCTTGCAGTCAAATATTAAATGCGCTACCTTGCGTTTTGCAGCAGTTTTGTTAACTTTTCACCTGATTAGAGATCCCTGGAGGAAGTAAATCTGATTTCAGCTTTGTTGATTGCAGACTTGATCAGAGATGCTGATCTTAATAATTCATTACTGTATCATAATAGACCACATGAAGAAATAGCTGAATGTTAAGCCCCCACTATGCCAGGCTCTCTGGCTGTTAGATACACCAATCCCTCACAACCGTAAATCCTTGTGTGTTGGTGTTGTCTCTAGGTGGCCCACACATACTCATTGAACAATTGGCACCACAGTTCCTTTGAAAGAGGATAGACGCCTGCATTTATTAGAGCAGTTTCGAATTCAAACAGCATTGCTCTAAACTCAAACTAAAGGAAAACAGGCCCCAGAGTGTAAATAAAACATTACAAACATGCCTGGTGTGAAGATATACCAACAGTTTTGCATTAGAGAGTAAATGCGCTTGGTCTGCACCCCAGTTAACAGGGTGGTCTAATGTTTAGAAAGTTAGAGCCTGTTAGCTCCTTAAAGGTTTGATCCCCCTCCAAATGTCTGCTCTGCTGAAGTGTCCTTGAGAAATTCCCTTTATTCATATTAGAAAAGACGCTCCCTTCTACCCCACACAAAGAAACAACCATCAGGAACCAATAGGGAGTCAGAAAAATAGTACACAAAAGTGCAACATCAAACAGTTCTTTGCAGTTAATTAGCATACATGGTAAACTGACAGCGGTTTGTTCAGTTTTGCAATTGACTGGCTAAGCTTCACACTTAGTTCACACTGTTGCTATGCCTGTCAAGCTGTCTGTTCTCACCCAGCACACACGCTGTTTACAATGAGGATGGTGACAGATTCACTCCAATTTTTTGGTAAGGTTTGAAACAATGATGAGTTCTTCATTTCAGACAGAGATACACAAACGCAGCCTTCTCGTTTATAACTGGTGCATGCCGACTGAAATGACAACTGTCACTGGCAGCTGTATCTAGCAAGTTAAAAAAGCCAACACTGGCACCATAAGTTGGTCTAAAATGCTATCTTTGACTAACTTATTAATATTTCCAGCTGACTTTTAGCGTTTTAAAACAACAATCTTAAATGTGCCAGTTCCAGGCAAAAATTCAGCATCCTCAAAGGTTTGTAATAAGGCAGATAAAGAAAGCTTTTTTCTTTTATTGTAGTGTTGAGCTAGTTAGAACAAGACAAAATATAACTTCAGACTTAAAATGTATGCTTTATTGTTCATATTGTTTGGACATTATCTCAGGTAAAAACTTTGGCAGAACAGGACAGAGCCGCTATAACATTATAGTCTAATTTTGATGCTATACTGACTTGTAACAGGGTGAGAGCCTCTGTTACACCTGTTCTCGTGCTATAAACTTTGGTGTTGGGAGAAGTACATATTGCTTCAAGGCACGCCAACAAACTTGGAACCAGCCTCTCACTTATTGTTAGTATTGCTGATACTGTATGTGGAAACATGTACATCTTTGTAACCTTTTGATCGTTATGTTGTGGATCTGCAATGATATATTCCATGTGACTGTTAATGTGTCTTGTATGTGTGTGTTTTTGGTGTTTCTACCCTGCAAAGTGTCTTCACAATGGTTTAAGACAGATCCAATAAACGATGGGAAAAACGCTCTAGTTGTAGGAATCTATTACTTTATTCAATTTGACCTTAAGGGGTTGGTGTAATTTAATATTAATGTAGCACTTTCTGTTGCCAAGCCCTTCCTGGCATAGTTACTTAGTCCCTGTAGTGTAATGCTGGCTATATAAAACAGCACATGCATTTTGTTTTGATTTAAGATGATCTGGAATTCACTGATAGCTCCCACATTACAGGAGCGCATATGGAGACATTTTACCTCCTGTTGACTGTAGCTTCGCCCTGCATTGTAGCTTTTGTGACCGTTTACTTACTTCTCACGTCAAAGAATTATATCCAGTCGTGAAGAGCTGCTCCAAACACAAATGTAATGCACCTGAAAGGCAGTGATAGCTGTTCCCACGAATGGAAAGCCTCCTGTGAACAATAGTGTAGCTCTGGCTGCTGCTTGCCAAGTAGCTTGCCATGTAAATAATAATAATAATGTATTGTTTGGAGCCAATTATTAGACAAAGGCAATTTGTTATATACAAAACAGTGGCTGGGCTATTTCTCTGCTGTGCTGGAGGGCAGTGAAAGCTCCATCCAAAATACAAAGACCCACATGGTAGTGATTAGATTTATCCCCTCTGTACTCACTTCAGTACCACATGCTGGTGCTAAGCCCTTATCTTCTGCGTTTAAAGCAGATGTTGTCAAATTAAATGCACCACAGGCTACGTGCTGATTATCTCACTGATGGTACTGCTGTCTTCAGCGAACAACTGGCTTCTTTTGTTCTTAAGGAATGTTGACATTTGATAAACCGATGGCAAGCAGCAATATGTTTTTATGATCCCACCCCTAAGGCAAGAGAGTAATTTCTCTGTCGGATCCACAGCATAAAAAAAGTGGTCTTTAAAGAACAGTCAAGACACTATCTTGCAAACCAAAAAGCACTTGTCTCAGCATTTTGGTTTGTGAGTTGTTATAGGTGGTGATGAACATTTCTTTGCTAAAGAAAACACTTCTCACCTCCACCACATTCCACAGTGTTTCCTGTAGAGTGGTTAGTTTTGCTGCCCTTGGGGAGCCATTGATAACAATGTCTCAATGCTTCTGTGTGCATGTGTGATTATGCATAGTGATTGAGTCTTACCCCAGATTGAGCCTCTCTGTGTCTTTAGGAAAGGTGTTCGGTATGGTGGTGAGGTGTCTGAATGTACAATGGACCTCTTTAGCACCTGGACAGCTACAGCTCCGTGGGCAGGATGGGATGGCATCTACGGGGGAGATCTACAGAGGAGGAGAGGAGGTATGCAGGATAAAGGGCCGGTAGGATGAGAGGAATGGGTATAACCAGAAGGCAATCAGATGGAGACGGTTAGGAATAAAAGAAAGGAGGGGGTACATAAGATAAACAAGGGAGGGTATGATATAGGAGGTATGAGAGGGGAGGCAAATTTAGAAAATCAGAAAAGATGAGATAAGAGAAGCAAACAGATGAGTTCAGACCTGTGTAGGCACTGACAGTTTGGAAAGAAATCAATACTTGGGAAAGTAAATAGACTCGAGGCTTATATAAAATAGATCAGGCGTATTAACATCTCAGAGCCAATATTTGTCTTATTTTCAAGATTACCTTAGAACAACGTGCTAAAGGAATTCATTGACCTAAAAATCCTTATATTGTGTTTTTCTTTAGCAAACTTAAAAATTGCTGTGGCGTTTTGTCTGTAAACTGAGTGGTTTCCCCAGTGAATTATCAGGACAACAACATTTTCTTAAAACTCCAACAGGCTCGCTCTTTTTTGTACACTGGGTGTTAAGTTGTAAGTGACTTTTATCAGTCGCCACTGACTTCTGTAAGATGTCGAGAGCTTCTGCAATGAAGATTTACCGTTTGCCAAAGCAGTGATGAGAAGAGCAGGGGGAACCACGCTGCAACCAACCTGCAGAAGATGTTGGAGCACCACCTGAGCGCCATGACTGGATGGCTGTCTGACTGCTTACGTCATTAATACACCTGCAGGAAGGGATGAAAAGATTTAGATGCACAGTTTTATGTTGACAAATACTAAACATTTTAAATACTAGAGAGGATTTAATCCAGGGCTGTTGTAGTGGATTGTACAGATGGGTGACATATTAAAGGTAAAACCTGTATAAATGAGAAACATGACAAGAAATAAAAAGCAAAAGAAATTCCCATGATAGCATTAGAAAGACTGAGAGAGAAAGTGAGTGAATTATCCACAAGTGAGTAAGTTGACAACTGTAGCAGCTCTCCCAATACTAAACTATTCGCCCTCAAGGTTGATAAAACAAGTCAGAGAGGTTTGGACACTCACTTAAACCCTGCCTGTCTACTTTACTGTTTTCCTTGGGGAACTCAAATCCTTTTTTATCCAACATAAATCATGTTCAGAGCTAGGAATATGTGTTCATTTGAAGACGCGCAATAGACACCTCATCTGTCGGCATCAGTGGATTAAAGACTCAAAGTCACACTCTGGTAGCTCAAACAAACACTGGAAAATAGAATTCAACACAATGCAATGCGACAGTGGAAAATAACCACTTAACATTGGCAGTTGTGGTTTTGCTACAGTGCTAGGTGGTTTGGAACTCATAATGTTGGTTTAAATGTTAACATACTCCTATTACATACCAATTACATACAACCACACTCACTGGAATTGACACTCACACACCCCTACACACAGGTTCGATAGTTAATAAACTCAGGAGGGAGAGAGAGAAATGATGGGAGCAGGAGGAGAAAGAAATAAGTTCACAGGTAGACCCAAACAACACACATATTTTAAGTCATTAGGGGCCAGTCTGGGGTTTCTGGTTTCCACCTCTATCTCTGTTCTCTGCTCACATGGAGGCTAATTCACCTAACAGCTGTGTGTGTGTGTGTGACATTTATGGCAGAAAGAAAGGAGGAAATTGCCCTAGAATTTGACCTGGATCGTGTTATTCATAATTATATAATCATGCTCTGTCCCTTACTTACACACACACACACACACACACACACACACACAGCAGTTTGGACTTCCTGATCTGACAAACACATTAGCCTACCAAGAGGTCAGTCAGGCTCCTTATTTATTTCAGTGGTGAAAGTTTGGATCAAATTAATTAAAAGATTTGTTTTTTAGAGTGACAGCTGGTGAGAAGAAGTAGAGCACAGTCTCAGTGCCAAGACAATCAGGTTTCTTTAGTAGTACATTAGGGTCTACAAGGTGGAAGCCAAGGACATGTTGGCTCTGCAACACTGTCCTTTCATGTGATGAATTAATGTCAGAGCAAATAGGACTTCTACTTGTAATGTCAACCTAGACAATATAAAGTACAGTAGGCTAAGAATCTGTAGCCATGCTAGCAGCTTTGTGAGGCCGTACGCCAATAGCTCTTTCCAGGCATTCCCATGTTGAACCCAGAATTTCAGAACTTGAAAGTACGACTACCAAGTGTTTCAATTTAAGTTTTTGGGGTGTGTGGAACTGGGACATTTACTCATGAAAAAAACACACAGCTGCTGATTTTATTTATGTATTTCATAAGACCTTAAACACCAAAGGCCATTAGCTCCATTACACTGGATGGAGTGAACCAATGGCTAGCACAAGTATGAGTGGTTTGATTTGGGTGGACCTTTTCTGGGGCTATCTTTCAACATATTGTTGCTAATGTTTTAAGATAATAATCCAAATATCTAGGGATTCTACTAAGTACTTATATTCCTCTAAGGCACAGTAGTACAACCTCTCCTGTTTCCGCCAATCATGAAATTATTTTTTGCTTCCTTTCTCTTGCTGGCAGTATGAGTTTGGTTCCTTGCATAGCCCATTCACTGATCATAAAGCAGCCCCTATAGAAAGGAACAAAGGAGTGAATGACGGATTTTGGCAGGAATTTGAGAAAACCATGTGTCAGTAAGCATATGATTTTGATAAGCAGGAGGTCGGGAAGTGTTGTGCTCTGCCACTTTATCTCTGTCTGTTGAGAATTTGGGAGGGGATTTAAATGTACAGGGAAACCGTTTTCTCATCTCTGCTCATCTGTTTTCTCTTTCTCTTCTTTCTCTTCTGCTGTCTTCTCCTCTTCTATCATACTGTCCTCTCTCTCCTTGCCTCACCTTGCCTTGTCATTCTCTGTTTTTACATTCTCCTCTCATTTCCTTGCCTGTCCTCTCTCACTGTCTCCAAAGTACTAACACAGGAGAGCTGGTAAAGCCATTAAAGGAGGGCAGGAGCAGAGACCTAGCTGGCTGACAGCGTTTACCTGTGATTATAACCCCTGATAGTAGAGACTGACTGAACTGACACCTTTATTGCTCTGTAAAGTCAAGGTATAAACTGTTGCATCAACAGGATTTAGTCTTACCTGAGCTGTATTAAAGGTGAGGGTCGCTGAACAGCTGTGTATAACATCTAATAAAATGCATCCAGTATCCTTTCAACATGTCATTTAGATCATAGAACTGATGACCACATTTACACAGCCAATATGGGACATTCATTGTGAGCCATAGGTACAGTACAGTGTATGACCAATGTCAGATCATGGTTTTTTTTAAATGTTAAGCATGAATTCTTATGATCTTGGCCCCAAGGTGACAAAGTCATTATTAGAGACCTGAGGGCGCAAGTTCAAGCTCCTGCTAGAGTGTCCTTGACCACAATAATGAATCTGGAACAGCTCAGACCTTCTGTCCTGGACATAACCCTGACCTTTGACCTCCTTCTGGAAGAGGAGAAGGATTTCCCTCTGTGGATCAATAAATGGTTGTTGTCATACTGGCTGTAGATGCACATATATTGACAGGAAATTGGTGTAATTTGAGTGTGAAATTCCATTCTTGTCCTGAGAAACAGCAGTTAAATCAGTTTCCTATGACGAAGTATTGGCAGCTAAGGGTTCTGCTACAGGCACGGTCTAACGCTATAGGTGTGTGTGAGGACGTGCGTGTGTGAGAAGTTACTGTTTGCTCGATGGCTGTTAAAGAGGTTAGCGACGCTGCCAGAATCAGCTATATCGGAACCAGAGAGTATTTCTTCATTGAAAGAAGAGCAAAGAACGGCACTGAAGGCTTTTCTCGATGGAAAACATGTTTTCACTCTTCCCCCGACTGGTTTCAAGTAAGAATTTGACGACGTGACATGGTTCCTTGATCTGATTGGTTGAAGTTTGTCTGTGATAGATGTTGAGTGACAGATGGTTCAGCCAATCACCTGCCATGTATTTTTTCTTAGAATGCCAGCCCTTTTCCAACAACAAAAATACATTCAACATCATAATTGCATTTAGGAAAAATATAACCATGCATCTTGTTTTTGAGACGCCCTGTGCAATTACCCCGTGAGTGAGGCTAATGTGCTAGCATGCAACATCCATCGGTCAATAATCTACTAACAACTCTATTAGTGTATATGTTATACACCTAAAGTCCTTTAGAACTGATCAAAAGCCAAATCGGTCTACTTATACATGGTGTATTCCTTAAAGAATGTCTGAGCGAGGCCAATGCATCTTTATGTCAAAAGCTTTATGCTGACTGCAAGCCAAGTCACAGCTGCTCTATTCAAGATAACACATGTCAAGAGAGGAATACAATATGATTCCCACATGTTTTCCATGCAAGCCTGTAATATCATGTGCTGCCCATATATCCTCATTCAGAAATCTCTTTCAACATAATTTGTGGATTTGTGTTGCTATTGGATACCAACTGTGTCTCCGAAAGGTTCATTAGCAAGTTGAACAACAATGTTTTATGACTGACTAACATATATTGGCACGTGATAAAATAATTATCGCCAGTCCTACTCACTTCATCAACATTTGGCTTATGGTAATTTATTTAAATTTATTACATTGTGACATAGCTTTTTCATATTCTTTAAAGACTTCTGAGGCTGAATATAGTCCACTTTGGTTTTAGAAGTCCATTTTATTTATAGATGTTGTAAAAGAGGTAAAAATATGAAACAAATGTCGTTTTTTTTTTGTTTTTTGTTCCTCTTTCTCAATGTTAATTGATTGCTTGAACTATTTTCATTGGCAGATTCCTTTCAGATTTGCCTTCCAAGTATTGGCTGTACAGTTTGGCTTGCTAAAGTGGCACAGGGAAGAAGCTCAGGTGGCTTTTAAGCACATCTGAAATACTTTGTACAGTCTAGGCAAAGTCTAGCAAGTTTTATTTAGCCTGTGGTGTATTATGACTGAAAGCTGGCCCCCTTTAATCATTAAAACAAAGCTGCATGTGGCTAATAAATACTTAAGAGTGTATTTATACAGAGCGTCTGTTTGCCTTAAGTGCTCATTGGTACCAATATGATTTAAATGCATTTGGTTCTGGTTATAGTAAACAAACTTTACCAGCAACAGGCTGTGTATGACAGAAATGTCTGTGTCTTGCAAACAGTATATCAAGTATAAATATTTGCAATTTCTGATGCTCTTTGAACGCAATATGAAAATCTTTATATAGTTATTGTATACTTTTTTTTTGGTGGCTGGAGGATTACATGCAAAAGTCAATCAACAGATGAATTACTGTGACACCAACTACATCTGTCAATACATGTCAGTAAGTATGAAATCAGATTTCAAAGCTTTGATGTGGCAAAGACGAATATGGCCCTAAAACTGTCACTTTTGCAGCCGTTCGACACCCATTAGACAACTGCACGTTATTCAACTGACAGTTTTAAATGAGAACAATTAGTCATCAGCCATACATCAACTTCTGTCAGTTAAGTGTTCACAGTCCTGGAAGAAAATTACACTCATACTCAGATTTTAAATGAGAATCTTCATATTAAAACCAGAGATCTGCACAGAAAACATTAACCCAAGCAAAAGTCTCTGTTAAAGTTACTTTTACATCTGGGAGCATTTAACAAGTTAAACCTCAGGAGACTCACCTGGAAATTCCTCCAGAGGGGAAAAAAATAAACAGTTTAAGTACAAAATAGACCCCAAAACAAGTCCTTTAGTTTCGACTGCAGGCTGGAAAGTCAGAGTTTTACAAGAAAAACAGGCGTAAAAAAGTATCCAGTTGATGTTTTAGTCCTGTGGATGTTTGCTGACTTGTAAAGCCACCGAGGTCCTGATGTCTGTGAGGGAGAGAGAGAGGGGATGGAGCGCTTTCTATGTGTGTGTGTGTGTGTGTGTGTGTGTGTGTGTTGGGGGGGATTAGTTTGACCCTCTGTTGGTTCTTAAGGCATCTGGATTTCAGATTAGCTTCTTTCTCGTCCCGTTCTGTAAGTGTGCGGTGAGGAATGCTGCTTCTCCATCCCCTTCTACACATACGCTCCTTCCTTCACCTCCTCCATTCATCTCCTCTCCCTCTCTCTCTCTCTCTCTCACTCTCTCTGCTTTAACAACCACTCGCTCTCCCTCTTGGAGACTTCCATTTCACACAGGCAAACCTGGTGGAAACATTATCACTTTCCTGTCCTTTTTTGCTATTTTCTTTCTTTCTCCCTCCCTTTGTTTACCTCCTCTCTCAATCTCTGCTCTCTTTCTCTTTTCCCTCTCTGTCTGTTTTTCTCTTTACACGCTTTCACCTTTCCAACCCTCCCTCTTCCTCTCTTTTCTCCCTCTTGAGGTACATTACAGCTTCTGAATACAGATTAGCCAATTATAATAATCCGTCTATAGATATCAAGCCTGCGCCGGCGGCTACACACACTGACACGTACTTTGAAAAAGTTGGCAGGCAGTTTGTATTATTCATTTGATCTGCCCAGATAAAATTCACAGTGAATTAAACAGGATGGGAAGATTTTATCAGTCCAATTGTCCTTTAAGCCCTGAAACTGTAGTGTTGAAACATTGTGGCACCATACCTTGGCTGTGTTTACATAGCAATTTACAGGACTGAAGGACTGACTTTTTTTTTCATGTAGAAATGTAAAGTCTGGGCTTTTCACAACATGACTGTTACACAGACATATTGTGCACGTTGACTGTAATAGGTCTGATCTTGTTCGTACCATTTGGAAACACTTAAGTCACTGACCTGCTCATTTGTTGCCAAAGTCAGACTCTAAACAAATCTAGGCCTATATGAATAGGTTTTTTGTGACAGAGCTCTTTTGTTAACATGCCCAGCCTCTCACTTCACTTCTATTTAGTTGACTTCACTATAGGGACGAAAGAGATGAAAAGGGCTGTAAAACCTGTAACACAGGCCTGCTAATACTCTGTTGGAGCAGTGAAGGAGTTAAAAAGTTTTCACACCAACAGAATTAAAGTTTACACTCATAAAATGATGAAAAGTGCAAAATTACAACAGGTTTAAGTTTTTTTTAAAATCATATCACATACAGAAGTAATAACAATCTCATCTCAAAGTAAATGTAGAAGCTGTTTTTGATCATAACAGGATCTTCATTAGTAGATAAACTTTGCCCAGTTATGGAAATGGTTTACACTTTAAGATGTTCAAATTCCATTTTTTTTATCCACACTACTCGTGTAGTTCTACATATGGCAGTGTCTGTTTGTTGGTCCAACAATTTTGTCCCCAGACCGACTTTTCTGATCCCTGATTTTTCCCCACCAGCAGGTTGACCTTTGTGTTTTAGTTGTGAAATGTTTTGTCACTTATTGAATGGATTGGACAGACAATGGTGAAAATTTGCCTCAAAAATTGAAAAAAGTGTGACGACGACACTGACATAGCTGTTGTTGTGAGTAGACTTGGACATTTGTCACTACTGATTGGTTAAAGAGTGAATAACAACCCAAACAGAAAATAGCTAACATGAATTGTGGCTGAATAATGACATGAAACAAATTAGCATTTTAGTCGTAATATCAGGTTACCATTATGATCATAATTCATTATTATTTCTAAAATAATTTAAAAAAAAATTAAGATAACAGTGTTTTTGAAAATAACTTTTGTCTTGTGCATCAAGATGTTGTAAGTTTGACAAACTTGATGACAGCTTCAAACAGACTGATCACTATATTTAGATGGCAAAAAAGATGTACATTTATATCAGATATGTGCCGGATTTAGGCAAATTACTACTGGAATTCATTCATTCTTTTCTAATCCCTAGTTGTCTCAGACAGGAGACAACTGCACTTTGACATCACTCAGCACCATCTCTCTGCACCACATACACACACACACATACGTACACATTTCAGTCATCAGTTTATCATACTGATGACGGTGCCTGGTGCCAGTTCCATGGGCCAAACCTCGCTGGCATTCTTGTGCCACATTCTTTTTCTCCCAAATGTACAACAGACACAAGTGAGTTACTGTAAGCAATAACAAACTTTGCATCCTGTTTTGACAGGCTTCTTGTAATGTTTTTTGATTTGTGAACATGTGAGTGCATTTTGGAGGCTTATGTGCATGCTCATGAGTATAAACATTTCTATGGCTCCTCCATCTTACAGAATAAATCTCCTTGTCTTGTTCTGTTGGTGGCTCTGGTTGGTGGTTGGTGGGAGCAGCCTGGTTACAACATGAAACAGGTAAGAAATGGTGCTGAACAAATAGAAAAACATGAACTTCATTATTCCCCACTAGAATATAAATACAGAGGCTTCTTTGTGAGACATGATCGCTAAGCCACATCATGTTGGCTAATCCAACCGTTCACCAGCCAGCAATAGATTGACATTTACACTGCAGAGACAGGGTTCAACAACAGTTACAAGGTCTTTCCAAGAATTTGCCAACAGTTTTCCCCTTGACATGTGGTATTGAACTGAAAATGCCTAATGTACAATTATATGTGTTTTGTTTTGTGCATTACATTTATTATTTGTGATCAAATGTACGGTTGTGATGCACCTATTTCCTACCTATTTCTGCTTCAGTCAGTGATTTCCTGTACTTCCCAGAATATTTTGACATCAATCCAACAAAGTTCCTGGAACTTATTCAGCAGTGCAGACTGTGAAGCCAGGGGTTGTATTAGCCAAAAAAACAAAAAACAAAAAAATAAGAAAGAAAAAAGAGCATGCCCTCTACTCTAATTGTCTTCTGGATCTTTTGCGTTCTTGTTTACTTGTGGTTCCAGCTGATGTTTAAATGGACTCACACTAGAAGTGCAGTGCAGTTGAACTGTGTGTTTATACAAAAAGTGAGGCGAAATTCAATGGAAAGACATAATTAAATGCAAATATGCCCAAGGTGGTACAAAGTCATAAATGCAAGAGTTAAAAGTGTTGAACTTGAACATCTGTTTCATAAGCATACTGATACAAGAGAAAAAAGGACACAAAGAAATGATGAGTAAAACATGAACATGGTCAGTATGTCCCTTATTAGGTACTCACTGAAATGTCACGTTTTTTTTACATTCCTTCTATAAAATTCACAAGATTAAAGTAATTTAAAATTCAACTTGCAAGACAAGAGATTTAGGTTGCCAACAATTAAAATCAACCATTTGTCTAATCATATTTATGTGATGTGTCTCAAACAGAGATAGAAAAAGGCCAAATAGAGAAAGAACTTCCGCATGTCATGTAATCTGCCTCAGTGTAGGTTTTTGTTTATATTCTTTGTTTATTGCGACCCTCAGCTGAAAGTTCAGGGTACAGTTATATTATTCTGTTTTAACCTTAGTATGATGTTCGAGTGATCTTTATTCCTTTTAAATCTCTCACTGCAGGTCTCTGATTCTCTTAATCCCACAAGTTCTTTACCATACAACCTCTCCCTACTTAGTCTCAGCAGTTCCATATATTCTATAAACTGCCTTCACTTTGTTTCTTTACCCTGTTTTGTAGTCCTGTAGGCTGAGAAGCAGTGTTTATAGCATATCCCCCTTTGAAAGGAACTCTTCAGTTTATTTGGAGTAGCATTACTGCAGGAGAGGCTCCATTCCACATATTAGCCTGTGGATTAGACACTTATTGACTGTAGCCCAGCTTGTGGGCCCTAACCCTGTGATGTTTGTTAACTTTTCTGCTTCTCTCATGGAAATCTGGAATATCCTAAAAACACATGAATGAACATGAGAATGACATTGCGTGCTACCAGTTACGTGCACAAGGTACCCTATAGTGTTTGTATGAGACGTTTTCGCCAGAAAGCCTTTCTGCTAGAGAGCCCTTTTAACACATTAACACTGTGAAAAGGTCACAGTTTGTTTAAGTTTAGGCAACAAAACTACTTGGAAACTACAGTGGGCGCAAAATGCGGGAAAAGCGCAAACACCCCTGTCTAGAGCCAGTGTCCTTCTGAGCTACTGTAGAAACATGGTGGAGCAACATGGCAGACTCCATTGAAGGCAACTTGCGATGTTTGGCGATAAAAAATGGCTTCTTTCTAAGGTAACAAAAATATAACAATATGTTTATTTTATAAAGCTGGAACAACTGGAGCAATAAGTCCATAACACATAATTCCAGATTTCTTTACGATTTCCTGGGAAAGCTGAAACCTGGCGATCCCTCATCTTTACTTTACTTTAAAGCTGCTACTGAGAATGTGTCAGTGCAGAGATTAGAGAGTGAAACATGGCTGTGTGTTTGTGTTCTCAAGGCTTTTCCTTCTCTCTGTTATTGTTTTTTATGGTACCCTCTTATTTTCACTTTCTTCCCCCGTACTTTCACTGGATTATCCCGCCCAGCTGTGTTGATTTGTCAGCAGCGATGGGAACAGAAGGAACTGAAGCACCTGTATGTCTCTCATCTATTTCTCTCCAGCTCTTGTCACGCACTTTCTGTCTTCTCTTCTTCACTCACTCCTTCGCAGAGCCAAGATTCCATCAACTTATGGACCATAAAACATTAATGCTCTCCATTTGCAGTGTGCTGCACTATTTTATACAGGTTTCTACTTTTTAGGAAAAACAGAACAACGTTTTTAAAACAGGAATGTTAAAAAGTGACATTTTTAACAATTTTAAACATATAATGTTACTTAAGGTTAATATATATTATATATATTGAGGGAAAAGATTAAAGTATGTGTGTGTGAGTGTGTGTGTGTGTGTCCTCCCTCCAGGTGAAACCCATTAAAGACCAACTGCCAAAATGCCCTTGTTACCACGTCCCCCTTCACTGCGAGACATCTGCAGGAACGTCACACTTTTATTTTCACAGCCATGATTTAATATTAAAAAAACAGATGAATATCTAACTTAAAAGAGCAAATTAAAGCTGCGGCGTGGAACTTCTGTCTCCCCCCCATGGCAGTGAGATTAATTACATAAACACTGTTGAAGCGTGCTTATGACTTTATTATTGTTTCATTTTTATCTGAATCATCAGAAACCTTTCTTCTTTTTCTGGTATAGGCCTCGCCGTACTCCTTCACTACATTTGCTCCTCCATTAGGCTCGATCAAACCAGTCATTGCTGGTCAATCTAAAATGCATCACTACCAGCGCCCGCCAATGTGGGAATGACGACACAGACAGAGATATATTGTATTGTATTACTTTATTAATCCCACAATGGGGAAATTCCCTTGTCACAGCAGCAATTACTTTAAATAAACAAATACAGATGTTTTACCTGTTTAAGAATTATAATTTCCAGTTAAAAATGTAAAGACTTATTTTCTTAATAAATGTAAAGTCTGTTAGTGTGGTCATCAAAAACAAGACTTTCAGCTGGTATTAAATTGCTCTTAAAACAGACTACTTTTCTGCTGCATAAGTTAATGATCATGTTTATAAAGCCACGTTGTGTCAGGATTTCAGTTGTTCAACCTTCATCGTGGTGCCAATACTTGATTCAGGGACACCAAATCACGTTAAACATTTCAACTATTAGAAATGTACTAGAAGAGCAGCTTTTGTTAAATTAACTTGATTACACTATAGAGAGTCTGAGCTTCACTGGTTGCCTAGTGATCCTGCAGTTTTATTTTTCACATCATAACCTGTAGGATGGCTCTAACCTCCCTAAGGGGATTAATTATAATTAAGGATGCAGGGATTATATAAACCTCCAAAGTTTTATGAAAAACAGTCTCTAAACCACAGTTGGGTTTTAGACATCAGTGCTGCTGTAAGTAGGAGATCCGCCTTCTTCAGTTTATACTTAAATCAACAAGAATAGTGAGAATGAAAGTTAATTTCTAACCATAGAAATGGGAATTTAACAAAAACGGGATGTGAATGGCTGTTAGTGGCTGTCCAATGGCTCCCAGTTGATGATAGTTGAATCACAAGATGTGATTGAAGGCTCCAGAAAAAGGCTAGTAAGTGGACCCTGAGTACTGGTATAGCTGAAATAGCCTGCTATTGTTTGGTCCACCCAAACTAATGACTATCATTCACTAAGATAACAGTGAAAGTGGAATACACACACAACATTTTTGAAAAACAAGTCATGGCCAAATAAGCAAGCAAACAGGCTCATTATCACCAATTGCATTGGCAAATTACATGAGTCAGCTGTAAAATTAATCCACCCATTGTGCCCAAAGCCAACTGTATAATTGGATCACTCTGTGATCTTAAAACCTATTTCATATTTGCCCACAAAATCTCACTGCAGTTTCTAAGAGAAACATGAAAATCAGAGTCTGATTATCATCATTATCTAGTAATGACACCAATCATTTAGTCACTGTGTGAGAAATTATTGTAGCACACAGAGTTTGGTGCACATCTATCACCAGTAAAATATCTCAGTTGGAATCTATGTTGCACCATGTGAAGCCAGGGCACAGAATGGGGAGAGCAAGGTAGATACTTATATCAATTACATACAGGTATTGTGATGTCTATATATATTTTTATTGGAAATCTCCTGATGGAAATGACAGCCAAGTTTTTCTCCAGATTTCTGAGCACAACTTTGAGCGCTGCCTGCTACAACAGGTTTCTCCCTGTTTCACGAAGCTTGATGTTACTCATGCTCATGGTATTCCTCAAAGTGTTAGCAGTTTGCTTTGAGTAGGTTCTTTTGTGTGCCTCCTATCAATTTAATTCCTCCCTAGAATCACATAAAATCTCATTTTAGTGTTCAGAGTGCACACTGCTGTTTCTAATGTTGGCGGTTCCCACTTCGTTTCTTGGAGTCAGGTTTTTAATGTGTCCTGAAACAGCACTCAGTGAGCGGCCATATAGTTTTGTATTTTTAATTCCTTTTATTTTATCTTTATATATTACAATATATTTGTCAGGTCAAGATTTAAGAACTTCAGAATAGACAAAAACTAAAGGCTTTTCCTGTATATTTGAATTTTATTTTAATAAGTTTTGTAAGAACACAATATTGTTTCATTTAATTTTTGTTAACTAAAATGTTTTTTTTCACAGATTTTAGTTCACGTTTAGTTAACTATAACAACCTTGAGCGCTCTGTATTGGTGTGTCTCTTCCCATTCTCAATGAACTCAACAAACAAAACCTGACACCAGTTTTTATTTTAGGCAAATGAATCTGCAGCCTCAAGCGTCACAACATGCTTCTCTTTTGCAACCTCACCTGATTTCACTTGATAAGACAGCTGTATTTCTTGCATATGAGCTTTAATCCAAGGGGACATTTTACAGCTCTGAG